ATCGCTGAATTCCTCTAGGCCCTCAAGGGGTGGTGTGTCTAGGCAGCACTAAAGGCAGGTGGGAAGCAGAAAGCAGAAAAGATCATCCCACCAGCTGGTCCCAGGAGCCCATGAGCAGAGAAGGTTCTCATGCTTGTACTCAGAATGAAGGGACACTCCCACGTGGCCTCATGTGTGTCTGGAGCTTTTCTAAGTGTCAGGGATAAAGAAGAGAAAAGACAAGACAACATCTCTGCTCTATTGAAGCCAATGTCCTGCAGGGTGGGGGACAGAGTAAATACATACATGTCGAGGGATAAAAAGTTCTACAAGAAAAAAGTAGCACGGGGCAAGAGGATGCAGAGGAGAGATACTATTTTATATGAATGGTTAGATGAGGCCCTGTGAAACCTTTGCACAGAAACCAGAAGGAAGTGAGGGAACGAACCATAGAGAAATAAAGTTCCAGAAACAGTTAATTGTTCAGCAAAAAGGCCCTGGGGGGAGGGAGGGCATACTTTCAAGGAAGAAGCTAGTGGGAGGAAGAGGGGTAGGAAGGCAGTGAGAGAATCAGGGGATGTGGCTGTGTGGGACCTGCCCCCACTGCTGTTCAAAATCAACCCCAAAGCCAGCCCACAAAGACAGTCACAGAAAGGGTTGGAGTTGGCGATGCAGCTTAGTGGCAGAGCCCATGATTAGCAACCCTAGGCCCTGGGTTCAATCCCCAGCACAATAAATAGATAAGTAAGTAGTTGGGGTTTTTAAGATTTGAGGTGTTTGTTTTATACAAAAAGGGGTTCTTGAATATATTAAAACAGATTTCTTCCTGGGCACAGCAGCACACACCTATAATACCAGCAGCTTGGGAGGCTGAGGTAGGAGGATTGCAAGTTCAAGGCCAGCCTCAGGAACAAACTGAGACCATCTCAACATGAAAAATAAGAAGGGATGGGGATGTGTCTCAGTGGTAGAGCAACCCTGGATTCAATATCTAGTAGCGCGCGCGCATACACACACACACACAAAGCCAGCTAGTCAATATTTCAGGCTTTTGCAGGCTGGGTATCTCTTTCACAACTTATTAGGGGAAGGCCTCTGAACCAGGGAAGCCAATGGTGTGACTCAGTCTAAGGACACTGGCCTGAGAATGGGAGAGATCACTGGTGTAAGCCCGAGAGTCCAAAACCACAAAGTCCTAATACTCAAGGGCAGAGAAAGAGGGTTGTCCCAGCTGCAAGAGAAAGAGCAAATTCACCTTTCTTGTATTTTGTTCTATCCAGACCTTCGGCCAATTGAATGGTACCTGCCAATGTTACCGCTGTTGACCGATGACGAGACCTTGCTTCCCCAATGTTGAAGTATAACACTAGAGAAGCACACTGAGGCAATGTCAGAGTAGAAATTAGAAGTTTATTAAAGGACAGCAGAAAAGACTTCTCCCAGAGGAAGAAAGGGACCCAAGAGGTGGAATCCGTGAAAGTGTGGTTGTTTCACCTTTTTATAGTTTTGGTGATGGAATGTAAGGGGGAAGGGTTGGGACACAGGTAATCTGGGCAGGAAGGACTTCATTAACACTTCTTTGGGATAGGCTATCTTCAAATCTGCTGGGGCTGTTCCCTGGGTTCCATTAACATTTCTTTGGGGTGGACTTTGGCCTAGGGCCTTTCCATTCCATGAGTTGTCCTGCATTTCCGGGAATCATTGTCAGCATGGCCTCCATTTTAGATTTCACTCGGTATTAGACCCGATTTACCTAACTACACTGACTACCTAACTTTAAATCTGGCTTCACCGAAACTGGGTGAGAGCGAATCTTCCTTATTCGATCCACTGATTCCAATGTCCATTTCTTGTAGAAACACTCTCACAGACACACCCAAATAGTGCTTTACCAGTGATCTAGGTATCCCTTAATTCAGTCAGGTTGACACCTAAAGTTAGTCTTCTCAGATGCCATGATCTCCCAAGATCCATTCATGATGACAGCTGCTGGGATGCTAGATTTTTCTCAGACGTAAGAAAGTAGAATCATTCAGAATACAGTTTACACCCATTTCAGAAAACAAGGTGATTTGAAAATCTCTTTGGCTTCCAGCTAACTTGTGTAAGAAAGAGTACACACTGGATTGAAACCCACAAAATCATTATGGACCTGAGACTATCTTTTACAATCTGGGTCATTAGGAATTTGAGGTGAATAATAGTCTTTGGGATGAGATGAGATTAACACGTCATTAATCTCATCCGATTAATCCTGACAGATTCCAGCAGTTACCTGCATGTTTTTAAAATGAGCAGTGATGGAATGCTCTTTATCAACTGCAATTGTAGATATTTAAAGAAATAAGCTCCTGTGTTGCAATCACTCCTCCTTGATTTGTTCTTCAAAATTATCAACAGTTAGATTATCAGCAGGACTCCACAGAATGTTGATGGTCTACCACTGGCTTAATGATGAGGTCCTTTTTTATTGCTAATGAGTTTTTTGGTGTTGTGTTGTTGAGAGCCACAGCCAAAGGGGCCCCAGCAAACTTCCAGCTGACTGGCTCACCAGGGCCCCAGCAAACTTCCAGCTGCCAGCTGATTGGCTCCTCTGGGGTGATGCTCATTGGGCTGTTTCCCCGCCCTTTCAGACGACGGAGCTGCTCATTGGGGGACTCTTTTGGTTCCGCCCACGGGACCCAGCCAATCAGCCTCAAGAGCGGGAGGAGTGGGGGTTTTGAGAGGCTCCTGGGTAGCGGTGATGGCAGTTGGGCTCTGAGGGAATTCCTGAAGAGCTTGCAGGTATGGTGTGTGTGTTCTAAAAATAAAATTGGTTTCTGCTTGATAAGTGGCTCCTGAATTGTTCCCAGCCAGACTTCGGCATTGTGTGGGATTTTTTGTTTGCTTGTTTGTTTTGTTTTTGTTCAGAGTAACTATTCAACTCTGGGAAGGAGAGGTAAAAAGAGGATATTTGTGGGGGGCATCCTTCTTTTAGAGCAAATGAGCAAGGTGAGAGGCAGCAATACCTACTTTCCACATGTATTCTTTAAGAAGTCCTATTCCAGTTCCTTTTCAAAAGGAATGTTCAGCTAGGTGGTGGTGTATGACCACAATCCCAGGGATGCAGGAGGCTGAGAGGCAGATGATCCAAGGATCACAAATTCAAGGTCAATCTCAGCAATCTAGCAAGACTCTGCAACACAAAACATTAAATAGATGTATAGAAAGGACTTGAGGGGCTGAGGATATACTTCAGTTGGTGGAATGCTTGCCTTGCAAGCACAAAGGCCCTGTGTTCGATCCCCAGCACCAAAAAAAAAAAAAAAAAAAAGAAAGAAAGAAAGGACTGGAGATGTATGATGTAGCTCAGTGTTAAAGTGCCTCCTCCCCCCCTTCAATCCCAAGTACCATTAAAAAAAAAGTTAAAATAATTAATGTTCAGCCCCGCTAGCACTATGAGGGTAGTTTTCCAGTTTACCTCTTGCAAATAATTAATTTTCACAAATTTTTAAATGTTGACAATTTGATGAGTACAAAAATATTATAACATTGTTGAAGTCTCATCTCCCTAATTATACTCTATAAGTATTTAAAATTTGTTTTAAATCTATATTTCTTATTTATTTAATTTTAAGGTTGACCTCTACCCACCAGACTGGTGGCAGGGTTTGTTGTTGTTAAGCTTTTTTATTTTAACAGTAATAGGATTGAACCTAGGGGTGCTTTCTCACTGAGCTAAATTTGTAGCCCTTTTTATTTTGAGACAAGGTGTCCCTACATTGCTCTGGCTTCCTTGAACTTGCAAACCTCCTGCTTTAGTCTCCAAATTGTTGGGATTACAGGTGTTCCCCACCAGGCCAGATGACTGTATTAACTTGCCTCCCCCAACAATGACAACCAACAATGCTTCCAGACTCTGCCAGATGTCCCCTGCGGACAAATTCGCCCATTTTCAACTAGAGGCTGAAGAATATTGAGACTGCGTGACTCAAAAAGAGCGGGGATGCAGAAATACCTAAGACCTGTATTATCTCAGCGATAGCCTATTTTTCTTTTAGCTTCAGTGACATTGTACTCTCCTGGGTTTTTTTTTTTTGTGTGTGTGTGTGTGTGTGTGTGTGTGTGTGATTTGCAGTCACTCCTTTTCCAGTCTCCCTTCCTAGTACTCCAGGGTATAGTCACGGGACTTCTGCTCTCTACCGGAAAACTACTTTGTGCTTATCTAGCTCTGCAGTTTTAAATGGCATCTCTATTGATAAACTCACAAATGTTTATTTCTGCCATCAATAAAATGCCTTCCAAACCAAAATTTATATTTGGTTCCACAGACTCTCCGAATAGGAGAAAGAGCTCATTGCTGTGGGACAGTCCTTTAGTGCCAGGGTCCTTGGTCATGCTCCCTTTGTGAGCCACTGCAGCGAGTGCCAGATTCCAATGTACACTCCAATCTACACGCTGCCGGTACTCCAAAGAAAAGCCATGGAGGGACAGGTGCAGGAAGGCGTGGGAAGCTGATGAAGGCCGTGAAGTCCCCAAGGGACTGAACTTGGAAGGGCAGAGCGCTCGCAACACGACTCCGAGACGAAGCACAAGCTACGGACTCAAAGAAGCTGGAGAGTCAACTGTGTGCGAGACCACCACCCCCAGCCAAGTGGGCGTGAACCAATCGGTGGAGGAAATGCGCAGCCTCGTTTTAACCGACCAATCAGAGACCAGAGTGACTTATTATGACAACCTCCAGAGCCAATAAAAATGGAAGGTTCTCGTGGTCGAGAATACAGAGGGGAAGTTTATTAAAAAGCGCAAATGAGAAGACAAGTACGCGGCTAGACCACAGGATATGTTTACAGAGCCGGGTGGGAGTACTGGAGAAAAACTTGAAAGCAAGGTCACACTCCACGGACACGTCGCGTGCAGGGTACCCGCAAGTCACTCCCGAGTCCGGGGCTCAACGCGGGAGGGTGCGTGCTGCGCACTGACGTCACGCGCCGGCCCCGCCCCCAGCCGCCCATATAGCGTAGCTCTGGCACGCACGCACACCATTGTGTGGCTGGACTCGGCCGCCGCTGCGGTGTGAGGCGCGTGTTCGGGCCCTCGCCGTCCCCGCACCCGCACCGCGGCTATTGCCTTGCTGTCCGCCGTCCGACAGCCAGCCTTCGGGACCTCGCCCACCACGGACATGCCTCGCGTCTACATAGGACGCCTGAGCTACAACGTCCGGGAGAAGGACATCCAGCGCTTTTTCAGCGGCTATGGCCGCCTCCTCGAAGTAGACCTCAAAAATGGGTGAGTCGGGCCTGGGCGCCCGCGTTCGTGCCCAACGCCCTGGGCCTAGTGGCGGCTGGGGCTGTCCGAGAGAGAAGGCGGCCAAGGCCGCGGCGCCGCGTGGCAGAGCCTCCAAGATGGCGGCGGCGCGGCGCCGCGGGTGCGCGCGGGGGTCGCGGGTGCGCGCACGTGCGCGACACCGGCTAACGACGACCCCGCCGGTGCTTGGCCCGCGCCCCCCCCCCCACTCAGGTACGGCTTCGTGGAGTTCGAGGACTCCCGCGACGCCGACGACGCCGTTTACGAGCTGAACGGCAAGGAGCTCTGCGGCGAGCGCGTGATCGTGGAGCACGCCCGGGGCCCGCGCCGCGATCGCGACGGCTACAGCTACGGAAGCCGCAGTGAGTCCCGCCCCCGCGCGCTCCGCGCCTTTGGGACCTGGGGGGCGGGCGCAGGCACTAGGGTGGGCGGGGTGGGGCCTCCCAGCCCGGGCAGGTGCGGGGGCCGGGAGTCGTTTGACCCCGCTGTCCCTGGGCCCCGCTGCCTCCACCCCTGCCCGGGGCAACCATGGGACACCGGAGCGCGGGGATTGGGTCTGGGTATTCGGTTTTGGCCAAGTTGGGAGGGGGGTGGCTTCTGCTGGGCCCTCCTTGACACTATCGTGGGTTCTGCCCACTTTGGAAGCAAGGGATGACTGTATTTCTCGTATGCCCCTTGCTTAATAGTCAGTGCATAGATAGAAATGTGGAAGTTTGGGGACAGGCTGGGGTGGAGGTGGGGTAGGGGGTGGGGAAAGGGGAGGAGCTTGAGGTGTAGATCTGAAGAGTTAGTAAAGTTGGTGGGGGGCAAAGAAAATACTATTTTTAAAGTATTGTGGTATTGTACCACAGAGTAAATCTAAATAAGCTTTATGCTATACTTAAACTATTTGGGGCATGTTATTGGGAGGAGGTTGGGGGGATTTTTGGTTATGTTAAATGTTTGATGTTGAAATTGTTGCATGTTGAATTCAAACTTTTTAACAAGTCCTTGATGTTTCAATTTGAAAGTGACCAATGGGGCTGAGGCTGTGTCCACTGAGGCTAAGATGACTGCCTTTCCTGATTGGCCTTGGCTTTTCCATACATTGTGTGACCCTTGCCCTATGACCCTTTGGCTGACCTTACCGGAAGCCATGACGACAGCAGCCTTTTGCCATTAGACGCAGGGTGATGGTGAGGATTCCAAGGGTTAGACAAAACTGGTTAATCTGAACTAGGTGACTGTTACCTTGCGTGTTTTGTGGCCAAACCACCACCAAAAACCTCACACTGTGATGTAAGTACTTAGTGTAACTAGTAAAAATTTTTGTAAACTGTAGAAATGCATGTAATCAGTTAAGTTTTATATTTTACAATGTTCTGTAAAATAAAACTTAGCGAGGTAAATTGAATAAAGGAGCAGTCACTCTCTAACAGATTGTAGGAGAGGTTTAGTTGGATTTAGTCTATTTGACTTGCCCTTAATTTAATTTATGGCAAATCACAAATGTATCGAAGGTTTAGCAGTATAATAGCAAAGTCCTACTCCAGTAAATAAAAGTTGATATGTTTGTACTAACTTTCAAAAACATTATGCATCCCTATCATTGCAAAGCAACTAATTGTTCCCTTCATGTGATAAAGGTGGTGGAGGTGGATACAGCAGTCGGAGAACCTCTGGCAGAGACAAATATGGACCTCCTGTTCGTACAGAGTACAGGCTTATTGTAGAAAATCTTTCTAGTCGTTGCAGTTGGCAAGATTTAAAGGTATGTCCTATAATTTGAGTTGAGATTTGATTAATTCTTAAAAGGTAGGCCCTTTTGGTACCTTTTTTTCTGAGAACTAAAACCAGCATGCCCAGCTTGTGAGTCTGATAAGGCTTATTATTTCAGGATTTCATGCGGCAAGCAGGTGAAGTAACATATGCAGATGCTCACAAAGAACGTACAAATGAAGGTGTAATTGAATTTCGCTCCTACTCTGACATGAAGCGTGCTTTGGATAAACTGGATGGTACAGAGATAAATGGCAGGAATATTAGACTTATTGAAGATAAGCCACGAACAAGCCATAGGAGGTCTTATTCTGGAAGCAGATCTAGGTAATTTGAAAGACATGTAGTGGGCTGGAAAAGGGGTACTTGAGTCATTTTCAGTTGTTGCTTAATTGAACTTAAGATAGGTTTCATTTGGTTGTGTCTCCTTGTTCTTTTCTAGATGTTTTGTTAATGAGGTTAATTTTATAGTAAGCACTCTATTGTTGCTTCTGCTGAGTGGCACAAATATCCTTGAGATTAATATTCATTGTTGTGTTTTACAGGTCACGTTCAAGAAGGAGGTCACGAAGTAGGAGTCGCAGGAGCAGCCGCAGTAGATCTCGAAGTGTCTCAAAAAGTCGCTCCCGGTAAATACTGTGGTATTAGGATTTTTCCCCCCTAAATATAATTAGACTTCTTCATGGAGTATGTGTATGTTCTGACCCAATAACTGAAAAAAAATCTGCCTTTTCTTGTCCAGATCCAGGTCACGGAGCAAAGGTCGATCACGTTCTCGATCAAAAGGCAGGAAATCTAGATCAAAAAGCAAATCTAAGCCCAAGTCTGATCGGGGTTCCCATTCACATTCTCGAAGCAGATCTAAGGATGAGTATGAAAAGTCCCGAAGCAGGTCTCGATCTCGGTCCCCCAAAGAAAATGGAAAAGGTGATATAAAGTCAAAATCCAGATCAAGGAGCCAGTCTCGTTCCAATTCACCCCTTCCTGTTCCACCCTCAAAGGCTCGTTCTGTGTCCCCTCCACCAAAAAGAGCTACTTCAAGATCCCATTCTAGATCTCGCTCAAGGTCAAGGTCCAGATCAAGTTCCAGAGATTAACCCAGAACTCTACATTCTTTGCACACTATTATGGAACACTTTCCTACTTGCTTAGGCAGTTACTCTTCCATGTTTATACTTGGCCTCTTCTGCAAGAGGAATCTCCTGAGAGCAGGAGCACACAAAAATTTGATTTGTGGCCAAATTTGATGAAAAAGATGAGGTTCTAAAATGGTGGCATGAAGTCAAAGACCCTCTCCCTTCTTTGTAGAATTAAGATAACTTTGATTTTATAGCTTTTGAGCTAAAATAACTTTTGTAAAGATTAAGCTCATTTAGATTTTTTTTTTTAAGTATTTTCAGCAGGATCTGCTGCAGGGTTTTTTTTTTTGTTGTTTCATTTGTTTGCTTATTTTTAAATTAACCGTTTCAAGCTTTGGATACTTAAGGCTTTAGAGGGAGAATCCAATTTTCAATTATGTTGGCTTTTTATAAAGCTTGAGTTATGTAAGATTTAAATAAAAGTTTGCTACCAAGATGATTGCCTTATTGAATAGGTCACTATCAAATTCCTTTAATGTTGATATCTGCTATTTGTGGAAACAGTGTAAATTCTACTAAAGTGTAAAACAAGGCAAGCCTCAGACCAGCAATAAATTATTCAGTTTGGATAACATTATTTTGTGCTGTTAATCAAATTTGCCAAAGTCTTTATCTGCCCCTCTAACAAGTTGGGTTAAAAATAAAAAGATATTTTGTAGTCAATCTATAACACAATTTTGCCTGAATTAATGAGTTTTTAAATAGACTGTTTTCGAACTTATGATTTGACTGGATTATTTAGGAAATAGCTTTTAGGGCTTGGGATCTTTTAGTTAGTGATCCCATGCTCTGGAGGTGGTTAATGAGATTAGTGTAGTTAAGAGTATGGTTCAGTGGTCTTTAATGTTATGTAAAAATGGAAGTAGCCTTTATCTGAATAGAAATTTAGTGTATCGTTCAAAGTGGATAGGCATATACTGCATTTTCTGCGGAAAGATAACATTTAACAGGTACTTAGCAGATCTTTTGATAAGGTCAGTTGCTTAACAGATTGTTGGCAAATAAAATTCCAGCTATCAGTCCCCTTTGTAGTTTTGTTGGGGTTATGTGGTAATTGGTTGGTTCATTCTTGTAAATTTTTATACTTCTCTGTGGTTGGTTTGAAAAATGGGCAAACTCAAAAAAAACTAATAGTACTTTATTATGAATGAAGTACAGTACTGTGTAAACCAGACTGTAATATTGCAAATTTATACTGGGTTAGCAATTAGTCCATACATTCATAAGGCTAATAAGTTGAGATTGCAGGTCAAAAGTGAGTTATCTTACATCCCTTTGTTCGGATACTTTTATGTAATTTCATTTTAAAAGTACTTATTAACATCCACTTAAGTCAAGATGTAGATGAATTGACTCAGGTTTAATACCTTCTTAGGGAGCTGTCACTGTGTAAAGGTACCAGGATTGTGACTGAGCATGATATTCTGGGATTGGTTTGAAGAATTAAAAACCCAGAGGACATTTACTAAAATGAGGCTGAGGGAAAAATTGAGTCGAGGATCTAGTTGTCAGAATAGCTGAGAGTACTTGGTAATAAGAAAAAATCTTCATCTCTAAGGAATTTAGACTTCCTGTTTAAAATCCTAACTTTGGAAATATAGTGGCCCATAAGGTTGATGCTGCTTCCAATATCTTTTCTTGATAGTTTGTTTGTTTAAATGTTTATAAGAAATGGGTTTATTTTTAAATATAAACTTCAGAATTTAAGAGAAGGAAATGGTGTCTAATTATAGTTCATTATTTTGCCTATTCAAAGAACAGAAGTAATGATTCTTAGGAATTGGCTTTGACCAAAGTTCTCTTGTTTCCAGGGAAAGAACATAAAAGCTTTTGAACCACAGCCTTTTAAAAGGATGGGGGGAACGATATTATAGTGAATTTTGGCTTTCTAAAAGTATGCAACATCTTCAGCTGGGCTTTCTGTTATTGTGACATCATATGGCAAGAGGCATATTTGACGACATTGTTAAGCTGCCCCAGTAAATGGGTAATTGTATTGGTAAATGCCTGCACCCATAAAATCTTTCTAGTAATGGCAAAGACCAATTTATTAAAAAATCTAATTATATATCTATAGATCCAAGTCATTGAATACAAAGTTGGCCTATTTCAGAATACAGAGTTGACTAGTGTAAAACATTTAATTCTGCTTCCCAGTGAGCAAGATCTGAGCAGCAGCAGTGTGCTGCACAATTACCAGTGGCTAGATGGAGTATTGACCTGATGGCAAAAAAGAATGAGGAACATCTTGCGTCCCCTTTCTTTTTTGATAGTGTTTCTTGATATGCCATTAGTGCCTTCATGGCCAGTTTGAGTCCTACCTACTCCAGCTTTTATGTTCCCACTCTTCCTGTGTTACCACCTTTCATCTTGGTATCTTTTTCCATTTTGTTAACGTATTTTATGTTAACTCAATAAAATGCTTACTGAGGGAAAAACTTGTTTGGAATTTATTGTGTATTACCACTTAACACCAAATTCTTGATGAGTGAGATTTTTGCATTGGAGTTGGCACTCACTAGCCATTCCTGGATAAGAAAAAGAATTGTTTCAGTTCTTCTGAAACCATTTGAGAATGTCATCTAGGGATAAAACTTTATGGAGTGGGAAGATGAAAACATAATGTAAAACATAATGTATGAAAATACTTAGTACCACAATAAATGTAACTTGCTATCCTTTTTTATTTTTGACTTTGTTCTCACATAAAATTCACTCATTTTTATCTAAGTGGTTTGAACATTTTCCAGCAACTTCTCAAATAATCAAACTAAGAAACTTCAATAATTTCCTAAATTTTTAACCTAATTTCCTTAATTCTGGACTTGACACACTAAACTTTGGCAATTTATGCTGCAATACTATGTTTCCATTGCTTAACCTTGGTTTTAGAACTCTTCTCCAATTCAACTTGCTGTGATTATATTCAGTTTCAGATATGTAGCAATGGACCCTGTTATGGAATGTTTAATTTTCTTAAATTCTTTTATATAAAAGATATATGGACAGTACTTGCAGTCTAGCACATGTGAGGCCCTAGGTTTGATTCCCCAGTCCACTTAGTCACTGTTAACAGTGTCAGTTCAGACTTTTGTGGCCACATGTGTCCTTTGTTTTTAACAATAGTTTATTCATACCATAAGTGGTAATAGGCAACTTGTTTTTGTATAAGACATCTAATGTTCTCTGAATAGTTAACTAATATACTGATGAATGTATTTTTCAGAGCCAAGAGTTTCCACTAAGTAAATTTTTTTTTTTGGGGGGGGGGGGCTCTAATATGTATTTTTAAACTATTTTGAACAGGTCATGAAACAGCACTATCGTTAATAGTCTTTCTGTCAGTGACCACATCTTGGATAAAGGTGTGTGTTTAATATCCCTAACAATGTGTGCTTCAATTTGCTAAAAGAACAAGTTGAGACAGTTGTACAATTGTTCTTTTAAATACTAAGTTGCTCTTATGCGGTAGTCCCAAAAACAGCACTCCCAGACCAACACTTATTAAAGGGATTAATTCTTTTTCAATAGAAAGGAGTTAATGGTTCTAAAATCAAAAGAAAAAAGGTGAAGTCCACTATTGACTGCTTGAAGGAAGGTTAGGATCACTAGTTCTTATACCTCCTGAAGATGCTTAATGCATATCTAGAAGAATTCACATTCCCTTAGATTTATCACAGCTTGTTTTAGTTTACAAAAGTCAAAATGCTATTTAATATTAAAGGTTACATTAAGAAGCTCTATTGTTTATGTTCAATTACTTACATATTTTTACCCCTATTGTAGAGGTATTTTTAAGAGTATACGGTACAACAAGGTTAAGTAAAGGCAGCATTTTAAATCTTGATTTCAGTTCCTAACAACTGTAAAAGTTCAGTGCCTATATCATCTTCAATTCCTCTATTAAAAGCTCTCCTTAAAAGTCCAGTTAAACAGGGACTGTGGTCCATGCCTTTAATCTTAGCAACTTGGGAGACTGAGGCAGGGAGATGACAAATTAAAAGCCAGCCTCTGACTTACTAAGATCCTCTCAAAAATAAAAAAAATAAAATAAAAAAATTTTAAAAAGGGCTGGGAATGTTGCACAGGTAGAGCACCCCTGGGTTCCGTCCCCAATACCAAGCAAAAGTAGGTTAAAGAAGGCTGAAAAAAGTTTGGCCAGGTGTAATGGTGTATACCTATAATCCTAGTAAGATAGGACAATTAAGTTCAAGGCCAGCATCAACTGGGGATCCTGTCAAAGGAAGGTGTGGTGATGTAGCTCCAGTGGTAGAGCAGCCCTGGTTGTGCCAGGAGTTGAACCTAGAGGCACTGTATCACTGCAGTACAGCCCACCCTTTTTAATTTTTTATTTTGAGATAGTCTTAGTGCCAGGCTGACCTCAAGTTTGGGGTCTTCCTGCGTTAGCTTCATTTTTTATTTACATGATTTTCTTATTGAGGCATCTGGAAGTAGAAAACATTGTGTTCCTTTACCCAAAAATATTATTGTCTTTTAGTATCCTCTGGGGCTAGGATATGCCCATGGGAGTCTGCCCAAGTAATAGCAGGTCATCTGTTGGAACTGTTACTGTTGGGGTCCTGGAATAAATTCTGCCAGTTTGGAGCAGAACACATGGCCAGACAGCCAGGCAGGGGCCAAGAGCAACCCATGAGGACAGGATGCTGGGATCAGGCTTTCCTTGCTTAAGAGAAGCAATAAGAGGATCCAGAGGGATGGCCCACCACTGGCACCCTAGAGAGTGAAGAGTGAGAGAGTAGCACCTAGCCTGGTGTGGTGGCCTCTGTGAGGTATATATGTACCCATGGAGGTGTGAGGCTGGGAGTGTGGGTCATGGTTGTGATGGTATGTTGTACATATAATGAAATGCAAGTATTTGGAGAATTGGTTTCGGGATACTGCCTCAGATTTCAAAACCCCAGATGGCATATTTTTGTGAGTTTTTTGGTGGTTTGGGGGGTTTCTGTGTGTGTGAGGGGGTGTGGGGGGAATTGTGTCTTTTTTTTTTTTTTGGTACTTTGGATTGAATCCAAGGGCACTCTACCACCGAGCTACATTCCCAGTTCTTTTTATTATTTTGAGAGGGTCTTGCTAAGTTGCTAAGGGTCTTGCCATGTTATTGAGGCTGACCTTAAACTTGACAGTCCTACATCTTTGGGATTTCAGGCCTATGCCACCATGTCCAGCTCAAATGTCATAGTATTTTCATACATACACACATCCTCCTGTGTGCTTTAAATCCTCTCTAGATTGTAAATACCGTGCTGCTACAGTTGTGCATTGCACATGTCAGTCAACCATGTGCCGCACATATCTCACTGGTCCAGAAGATAGTATCACCTAGTGATGTAACTGTCGTAGTTTTAAAGTATTCTCAACAGTTTTCACACAACGAAATCTCCTAGCATTAACACATGACCTAGTTACTTACTGAGGGAATAATAACAATCTGCAAATGTGGAACCCATAGATGGAGGGCTGAGAGTTTCTGTTGATTTGGGTTTGTCTCATGTATCTACATGATTGCATTGTCCACAGGAATGCCTCAAGAATGAGACTTTCATTTATCATATCCAGTGACCTATAGTAATCTGGGTCACTGTAAAGTCACTTTTCTCCTTTGTAATTAATAGTTTGTGAGGGGATAACTAGAGTCTATTTAATGCCCACAGCTTTGTCAAAGTATCTACTGTGGAATTTACTGGTGGTGATATTTTAAGTGTTTTATTTGTGGCTTTACCACAGACCTACACCCCCAGCCCTTTTTTATTTATTTTGAGATGAACCAGCTCACTAAATTGCCAAGGCTGGCCAAGAACTTGGGATCCTTTTGCCTCAGCCTCTCTAGTCACTGGGATTACAGGCATGCGTCATCACAGCAGGAAGAGCTTTCTCTGGGAAACTATCTTAAGTCTAGAAAAAGGTTTTGGAGGGGGCTTCAGGAGGGAGCCAGTCAGCAAGGATATGAGAAAGACTTACCAAGGAGAAAACCATGGTGGCATCAGCTTGAGCTCCATTACTCTGAAAGCAAGGAATTCCCCTAGCCCAAGGCCAGAATGGGAAAGCAGAGACATCATTTGTATAAGAGGAATATACAAGAAAAAGTAAGTTGCATCCTCATTTGTAGAACATACCTTCTAGTACTGAGAAAAATAGATGGTGTTAACAAAACACTTAGCCACTTATCAAATAGTAACTGCCTTAAATAGAGCTAAACCCTGAAGCCCTACTAGCCAAGTAGAGTATCTAATGTCTATAGTTCATTGATAAATGGTGTGAGTGTACTAAATGTGTTGCTCCAATGACATTCTGAATTTCAAACATCAGTGAGAACAGTATGATGGACCACCCACATACTCATCTAGCTATAACAATATCAGTCCACTTCCTCCAAGGAAATAGTAGACACTTCATCTGTAGTTAATTCAGGTGTACCTCCAAAAGACATGAAAAGTCTAAATCGAGTTCCTATACAATATATTTGCTGAGGAAACCAGGTCACTGTTCTGTGAAGTTTCCCAATCTTAATTTTGCTAATTGGAGTTTTGTTTCATGAAGCATATTCTGTTCCTGCATTTCCTCTAATTCAATCGTCAGGCCTATAGCAATTGTTATTTTTTTTTTTAGAGAAAAAAAATTTTTTTTAATATTTATTTTTTAGTTTTCGGCGGACACAGCATCTTTGTATGTGGTGCTGAGGATCGAACCCGGGCCGCGCGCATGCCAGGCAAGCGCGCTACCTCTTGTGCCACATCCCCAGCCCCAGCAATTGTTCTTTGACCAGCATCTTCATCACCTACAAACTTGTTAGAAATGCAGCTTCCCACCCAAACTCAGAATAGAACACTAAGAAACACTTAGGTGAGGGGCTGGGGTTGTGGCTCAGTGGTAGAGTGCTTGCCTCCCACTGTGAGGCACTGAGTTCAATCCTCAGCACCACATAAAAGTAATATAAAAAAAGGAAAGATATTGTGTCCATCTTTTTTTAAAAAATGTTAAAAAATAAACACTAGTGAAGCTCAATCAAATGTATTTTAGCAAGCCCCTCTTCTGGGACATACTAAAATGTAAAACTATTCCAGCAATTTTATCAAATTCTTTTCAAATTTTTATTAAATTCTAATTTGATTCTTTCAAGACTACTTGGGTGTCTTGTTATAATGGCAGCCATTGATCTTTGCCTAGATTCATCAAACCATGAATTCATGATTTAAAACATTTTAATACATTACATTTCTTACCATTTTTACCTTGCTGTCTTCAGTCAGCAAGATTTAAATTGCCTCCTGAGTTCTTTTGAAATAATCTTAGTAGGTTTCATGCTTTTTTGTTTGTAAGATTTCAGGCTCATCTTCAACATTTCCAGTCTGGAATCTAAAATCAGCCATTTTTCCAAAAGAGCCCTGGTTCTGTTTAATTCAAAATGGTCTTTAGCAAC